AGACTTATACCTGCACTGTCTCTGGCCAGTAGATTAGTATTGACACACATGACATGATTATCTGCTGCATTGCATTGTTTTAGAAATGATAAATGATAAACTGCTTTTGAACTTATATTGCACATGTAAGTGAGCTTGGGGTGGAAGATCCTTGAGGACTCACTGACTTACTGAGATTTCTAGATTAGAGATCTTACCCCACGTTTGGGGAATGCTTATTTCAGGATCAGGTAGTATGAGTACTGATGCCTCAGGCGGCAGGATGCCGGAGCTTAGCTGATTATGTTGTTTCTGCTTATATGTTAGCATGACTGGATTTGGATGCTGTTTATGTTTTCCGCTATTTATGATATGTTGTTGTTGAGACTGATGTTGGGCATGTTGCCTTATTTGAGTGAGCATGGGGATTGTCCATGACACTTTCTGTTAGTACTTGTAGTTTGGAGTTGTATAAAATGTTAGATGGTCTGGTCTACATTGTTGTAGTTCCGTGACTAGAGCCACAATTATATTATCTATGTTATGAGGTATTTCAGTTAGCTGTTTTATTGCAATTATATACAGGCGATGTTTTATTAATTGATTATTAAGTAAGTTGGTAATGTTAATGGCATCATAATTGAAAAGAAAAAGTAATTCCGCATTTTTAATTAAGCGCAGCTTAATACGATATTATGATAACATTACCGGATATATATAGGGTGTTACACATTGCACCAATATCAAACAGACCACAATATTCCAGACACTCACTGAAATCAATCATACTCCTCCAATTCGGTGCACTACCACCCTCTTTTTCATCCCTGCTAAGATAAGAATTGAAATCTCCCAACACCATCCAAGGACCACTACATTGCTCCTTAAGGTTTTGTAATTCCGACCAAAGAACTCTTCTCTCCAACAGCCTTGGACTTGCATAAATGAACGTTGCAAGTTCTAGCTTACCATTTTCCTTCCAGAGTAAATTGGTGTGAATATACTGATGATGATGCTTTACAATGTTGACTTGGACAATATCAACATTCCAAAGTAACCAAATACCACCTGAATAACCCACTGCTTCAGTAAAAAAGTAATCACTAAAACCAAGTCTTCTAATTTTACGACCTGCTTTCAAACCACTAGAACGGGTTTCTAAAAGAACTAGAATATCTATTTTGTGTCTTTGAACAAGATCTTTTATTAAGGGGATGAAGCCTTTCTTGCCCACACCCCTACAGTTCCAACAGAAAACAAACATAAAAAACATCATCATAGTAGGACAAAGAACACACTAGTTCAAGCTCGTATAAACACGAGTAGCACCTAGGGCTTCCAAACTCGCCCAGTCTCCTTCCCCTTTATGAGTTTGGTCATACCATTTCATAAGTTTTAGAGGATCAATAGGCTTCTCCTTGTTAATATCATCTTCTCCTTCTTTACCTGCTGGAAGTGGACCCAGAGGTTTCCCTTTAAAACTCAGATTAATCTGCTTAACCAAATTCTTATTTAAAGCCAAACTGCTCTGAGTAGTTTTCTGCAGTCTAGACCCACCAGTATTTTTCTTTTGAGTAGTTTTTTTTAAGCTCAAAGCCTTTGAAGAAAGCTTATCTCCACCAAGATACTTTTTCTCAGTGGGAGAAGCCTTATTTTTAAACCCAATTCGAACTCCCATCTCCTGAAATGACTCCATACCAACCTCTTGGGACCCCTTCTTTAATAAGGTAGAGTTTGGAACAGTTCCATTTATCCCCTCATCTGGTGTTTCGCCAACTACCGCACTGCCCGTTCTTATGGAAATCCTATTATCCAACTCCATCTCAGAATTTTTCATCTCCACATTTTGTGTAACATCCATAACCATAATTGGAACCTCCTTATCAATGTTTAATTGTTGATTATTCTGCAAAGCTGGACCTTCCGGATTGACACCAGCAACATTAATTTTCATGACTGGACTTGCCATTTCTTTACGCGAAGTACTTCCCGCAATCACTGCATTTGAATTACTTTCATTCTCTCCTTATATTTAGAGAGATGTTATAATTTCTTCCATTCAATGAAAATCTTCTACACTCTTGCTCATGTTTTTTTCAATTGAATTTCCCACGTAAATTGTGTTATTTCAATTGGTGTACTTATACGTGTTGACTTAATGATTGGTGAAATTAAGACAAAATTAATTCATACTGATGGTGTCGAGGAAAATAGTTTAAATATAGTAATTATTTAATTAGTCACAGTTGCAATTGCATAAGGAGACTTCCACTTACACTTACATTTACTTGACAAATTGATGTAGTTAATAATGTATCCAAATTCTTGTTTCTCTTAATTATATTTTAGCTGTATGATATTCTGTTACCTAACATGGGAGATGGCCATAGGTGGTGACAGATGACTGTGTAAAAATGAACTACAATGAGCCAAAAGGGTATGTACGTATGCATAATGATAACAAACAAAGAGTAGGATTGTAGAGAGCTATTTATAGAGAGTTTCTTATATGAAAATGTGTTGAACAAGGTTTATCTAGTCATGCTTGGGGTCCACAACATGGGTCCGAAACATAAAAAATAAAAATGAAAGATTACAAGAAAAAAATCAAAATTGAAACATAATATCAATTTTGGAAATATATTAAAAAAATAAAGTAGAATATAACAAGTTACAGAAATTTTGAATGCGTGTCATAGTCTTAAGTCTTTTTGATATCATTTATGCATCATCAAATAATCTTTCTCTCTTAAAAAAATTATTCAAAGAAAAGAAACATATGTGATAAGGATGACTATGTTATTCTAGTCCCCTAGTCCAACTAGTGCTTACACGCGTATTTATATATAACTTACTCATCCATAAGAAATAGGGGTGTTCGCGGTCTGGATTGGATCAATTTTGGAAACAAAAATAATCTGATCCAATTCCTTCGGTTTGATCATGTAATCATCCATTTGGTTTAGATTTTTTTTCAAATCCGATCCAATCCAATTTTTCGGCTTGGATTGGATCAGTTTTTAGTTTTATTGAAAAACCTAAAAAAAATTTCGGGATTATTGTGCAAATAACATATATTTTGTATATATTGGCTTTGTAAAAAAAAAAATTAAAATACAAAAGCATCAATAAACGATAGTATAATTTTTTTTTTGGCAATGAGATATGAAGCTCTACACAGATGAAATTTTGCTAATGGGTTGTGTCTAGGTTTTTTCATGGGTTTAGTTGATTTATTAATGTGTCTCGAGTTCAGAATTTTTTGGGCTATGATTGGGGAAAATTCCAAGGAGGTAGAAGTGAATTAATATATTGGATCGGTTTTCATCAACCTCCGATCCAATTCAATTAAAATTTACAATTTTTTTGGTTCGGTCACCGCGGTTTGAATCAGTTGATGAACATCCCTAATGAGAAATGTTAGCAATATAGCCATGTTGAATACAATTTTTCAAAACAATTTTTTTTTTTTGTTTTAAAAAAATTGTGATTTAAGAGAGAGGCCCTGTTGAATACAATTTTTCAAAACATTTTTTTTTTGTTTTAATTGTGATTTAAGATAGAGAGAACATATTTGGGCTATTTTTGTTCTGTGTTTTAATTTTTAACTTTCAAAACCAAAAATGCAGAAAATATATGTTTTCATAACTATTCTATAAAACAGTTTTAAGAACAGAAAAAAAATCAGAACACAATCAAACAGACCCATAATTTTTGACATTTTCTTTTTAACACTTGTAATTTATATATTACTTGAATTTAAAATAACTGTGCAATACGCTCAATACTCATTAATTTTATTTTATTATATTTTTCCTCCTCTCTTTCAATTTTTTTAATACAAATCGATTTTTGAAACTCCAATGGATTCAACTAATTCAATTTCAGGTTTACATTTCTTCACCCTCTAAAAAAAAAAATTGTGATTCTTAAGGATCGAACTCACAGTTGTCTAAGGTTTTGTTTGAGAGTTGGTTTTAAGAGGGGAAGGAAAGGAAATGGAGGATTTTAGTAAGGCCTTCCCTTGTTTGTGAGTTTAAAAAAATGGAGGAAGGGAATTGAAGATTTTTGCAAAATCCTCCAAAACCCCTTTCACTCTTAAAATTAAAGTTCTCCCAATTTGAGGGAGAAAATATTAAAATTTACTTATTTACCCTTAGCATTAAAATGTGAAACATACATAAATGTGAATCGTTTTTAAATATGAAACTATTAAAAAAATCTCAAATACCGACATAATTTATCAACGAAAAAAATTTCATCGAAAATAGTGACGAAATATTTGACAAAAATCATATTACGTCAAAAATAGAGACGAAAAATTCTCGTCAAAACTAGAGACGGAACAAGATTTTGTCATAATAACTGACATAATTTTTTTAGGGAAAAAAAATTCAGTCAAAATTCTTGGTAAAATCTAAATTCAGTCGAAACTTTCGACCAATGTTATAAAAACCGGACCTATCCGGCCGGGCCGACCCGAAAATCGATGAATCAGTCATGTAACCGGTTCGATTTTCATATTGGACCGGCCATGTTACAGAACCGGTGTGACCCGACCGGTTTTCGTAAAAATCGGTGACCCGGTCGGTTTTAACTCTTAAACAAGGGAATGGAATACCCTTCGATTTTCTTCCTTTCCTTCCTTCCCTCCCCTCCCCCTTAAATCTCCTTTCTTCCCTTCTCCTCCAAACTCTCAAAGAAAACCCTCTCTTCCGGTTTTTCAATTTGGTTTCTAAACCTTTTTAAATCCTTGGGCAAATTTAAGCCTTAAGTTTGTTCAGCTGTTTATGGTCCTTAAATCGTCTGTCTCCACAGTAGCCCAATATGCGATTAATGAAGTCCATATTTTTCAAATAGTCTTTTATAAATTCTCTGTGTATAATCGGCTTCACAGCAGCTCCATTGATGGCCCAAATTCATTTTTCGAAAGCCCAGTTTATAGTTGGGCTTGCACAATCACAATCCCCAGCAACTATCTAAATTTCCCTTGCTGCCCCTCAAACCTCAAGTAACCCTAAATAAACCATTTTCCCTTGAATTCACGATCAAGGTATAAATACTAGTCTGCACGCCGCTTCTTCTTCTTCTTCAGCCATATAGTACCTTCGCTGCATCATTTAGGGTTTCTGCATCTGATTCGATGGTACTACGTTTTCTCGCTCTCTATTATTAACATGTATATGTTTCCGTTTGTGTTCCCCATGTTGGTGGGTACAGTTTGGTGTTGTAATTTTTGACGAGTGTGTGTGAATGAAACGCAGGGGAAGGGAACGGGGAGTTTCGGTAAGAGGAGGAACAAGACCCACACTCTTTGTGTGAGATGCGGCCGCCGCAGCTTCCACCTCCAGAAGAGTCGCTGCGCCGCATGTGCTTTCCCCGCTGCACGCAAGAGGAAATGTAACTCTTCTTCTTTCCTTAATTCCCAATTTTGTTTTCTAAAAAAAGGGTTTGTATTTTGTATTAATACTTTAATCACGTCGCGTTCAGATAATTGGAGTGTCAAGGCAATCCGTAGAAAGACCACCGGAACTGGTAGGATGAGGTACTTGCGTAATGTGCCTCGCCGATTTAAGAGTGGTTTCAGAGAAGGTACTTTCATTATGTTCTATCATACTATGTTCTATTCAGAATTTTAATCATTGTATCAAAAAACAAGTATGCTATTTTGTACTTTTATCTTTTGTTTGACCATAATTTTGTTTGAATCAGGTACTGAAGCTGCACCCAGGAAGAAGGGAGGAGCTGCCACTGCGTAAACTTTTGGAAGATCTCTGTTTACTCGGTATTGAATTACAGGATTAGATTGTTTTTCTTTTTCTTTTTGGTGACTGGGGCAAGTCTCTTGGAACATTTATTTTTACAGCCTCATTGGTTCTCTCTCTTTTCCATTTTGATTTGTAGTTGCTTTATATTTCAACAAGATGATTATAAGACTTATTGATTGTTTAGATGGATTATAATAGTTTTGGCTTTAAATGGTTTTCTTTTGGGAAATAGATACCCGCTAGTCCCCATTACTATTTTAGGCATTCATCTTGAAATTTCCCATAATGATAAATAGTGAGCCATTTTTAGTTATGGGAAGGTAGTTTCGGTAACCTGGTTTGCTTGCCATGACTGTTTGACAGTTTTGTGCACTTGTTATCTCGTTGGCTTCGATTCTATAGTTTGTACTAGGAGAACGCTATCCTCCTGTCATGACTGATGCCAAAGGCAGTTTTAGGTGGTGTTTGATGATGTCTGGTTTGCACAAAAAACGAATTTGCTAGCTGTCTTCATTTTATGAGTTTCTTGAATCTTGATTAAGTGTCAATTAGATCAATGGACAACACGAGATGTGAACTTAGTGATCTTGTTATTCTTTACTTGTTCTGTAGATTGGGCTTTGTTTTTATGAGCTGTTGAAGTAACATTTGACTTTGGATTTTGCTTCATCTTTAAGATGGCTCTGTTTCACAAGTACAAAATTTATTTGGATTAGTTAATCTTAGCTCAAGTTTTGAATGTTATTGAACTTCACATGTGCAATAAATGCATATCAAGATGTAAATCTGAAATATGCTACCCCACTTGGTCTGAACAGGATATCGAGGTGTCACTTTTTTTTAAATATAATCCTAATAGTTACTTATTATTTGCGGTTTGGCAATTGATGGTGGAAAATTTATATCCAGCATTCGACGAATTTGAGAAATTGGGCTCTCGGAAACACTGTCTGATGCGTTATTTAAAGTATAATTCTCCTCAATCAGGCATATTTATAGGCAGAAGTTTGCTTGAGAAAATATTAGCAAGAAAATAATCGGATAAGAAATAATTTACTTGTTGTGCACGTGATTCCCCCAAGAAGCCTAAATTTGGAAGATAGACCTGTTAAAGTATTGCGGATAATTTTTGGAAAAACGAAAAAATGGGTCATGATAACAGATGATGTTATAGGTCAAGTTGTTCCTTTTTGTTATATGTCAAGTTTTAAATTGTTGGTTAAGTGGTTTTCTGGCTAGACTCAATGATTTGACTTGCTAAAGGGTAGTGAGTTTATTTTTTGAGAGTTATAATTTCTGTAGAGTGGAGAGGCATGAATCCAAAACTGTATTAGTGAGGCTTATAATGAAGGTCAATTTGGTAATTAATTATTAATAAAGGGTTATAAGGGTCAAAAAAAACCCAAGACCTCATCTTCTCCAATGCTTAATATAATTTGTTGAGGTAGGATCCTTTGAAATCAGTGTTAAATTTGAAGTTTGACACCTCATCTGAAAGCCATTAGATCAAAAAAGAACAATGGTGTCACATGCTTACAAATTAGAGTCGTTGATTTTTTTTATCTAATGACTATCAGATGTGGTGTCAAACTTTAAATTTGACACTGGTGTCAAATGATTCTACCTCTCATTTGTTACTTGGTTATGAATTTTCATCTATTAGTTAGATTTGATTTGAGATTACAAAGTAGAAATTTCATAGCTCATCAACAATCGCTTCTTGTAAACGGATATCAATTCTGCAAACACTTTCGAGTTCGCACATATAACGCTCGATTTCAGCTCCCCATTCTTCCTCTCTTACCTGAGCTTGAGCCAAAGTTCTTTGACGGCAAGGTTGGAACTCTGTTGGCGAGGGCTAATCGGATGCTCTGAAAATGCACATAGGGTGTGGAATCGACTGCTGGAAAGGGAGTTCAACGTCTAGGATAGAATCTACAATTGAATCGGATTAAATTCATGATTCTTTCTTTTTTCTATTTTTAATTAATGATGTTTAAAAAACGTTAAAATTAGATGTCTAATGAATAAAATAAACAATCAAAATTTATGTCGTTTGTGACAAATGGATGAATAAGGATGTCTGTTAGTCTCATTCTTTCTTCGGTGTCAAAGTTTAATACACCCGTTGTTCTAATGAGAAATAGCCTTTGGAGCCATACTCTGAGAATAAAGTGACCGGAGAAGGTTAAACGAGATCACCACCAAGTTATGCCAAAAATAGGATGATTTTTTTTTTTTTTTTTTGGTATCCTGGATGATTTTAAGTTTCATAGTGTTAATATGCAAGTAAGCCTAAGTTTAAAAGTTTGTATGCTCTTTTTATTAAATTTAATTGTTGCTTAAAAAGAAAGTGTTACCGTTGCTATTTTCATGTTTTCCGCACTTATAATACAGGTACAATTATTAAATTTAATAATTAATAAAAATAAAAAATAATTTACTTACCAACGGGAAATGTTATATTTACAATTTCTTTTCACTTACAACCTTTTACAATTAAATTTTTAATCGTTGATTTTTGTCAATTTAATAATTATAATTTATTGATCACACATATTAATTAATTATTAAATCTAAATAAATTATAACCGTTAAATTGACGGAAATTAACGGTTAACATTTGGTTACAATAGGTTGTAAGCGAAAAGATATTGTAAATATAACATTATTATTTCTTAAAATTTAAAAACTAGTTAATATCTCGTTCAAAAGGAAGGTTATTCCCGTTCAAAAGGAAGGTTATTCCCGTTCAAAAGGAAGGTTATTCTTTTCGCTTACAACCTCTTACAGTCAAATTTTAACGGTTGACTTTCGTTAATCTAACGGTTATATTTTATTAGATCATACTTATTATTAATTATTTTTAATAAATTATAACCGTCAGATTGACGAAAATCAACGTTAAGATTTGGTTATAAGAGTTGTAAGCGAAAAAGGTAGTAAATACGAGGAAGGTTATACTTATCACCAATTAAGTTTATCATATCTTACCATCAAATTTTAATTGTTGATTTTTGCCAATCTGACGATTATAATTTACTGAAAATTAATAATTAATTTTTAAGTGTTATCCAATAAATTATAACCATCAGATTAGCGAAAATAAACAATTAAAATTTAATGATAAATTGTGATGAACTTAATTGGTGGTAAATATATTCTTTCCCTGTAAATATATCCTCCCTCCACATTCAAATATGTAAAAATATATGGGGCAAGATATACTTACCACCAATTAAGTTTATCATTTTTTACCACCAAATCTTAATTATTGGTTTTTGTCAATCTGATGGTTATAATTTATTGCAAACTAATAATTAATTAATAAATATAATCTAATAAATTATAATCGTCATATTGACAGAAATCAACGATTAAGATTTCATGGTAAGAAGTGCTAAACTTAAGGGTTCACTTTTTCTGCTGTTAATGCAGATAAGTTATCTGCAGGAAACTTAATACGACATCGTTTTAGAGGGAAAATCATGGTGTTTTTGTATTTTAATTTATTTTAGGGTTATTATAGTCTTTATAATTATAATTATTTAATTTTTCAATCCTAAAATGACGTCGTTTTTGGAGTAAATGCAGATAATTTATCTGCAGTAACTGCATAAATATTTTTTCCTAAACTTAATTGGTAGTAAGTGTATCTCTCCCCAAAATATAATAAGTGAAAGTGAATTACATATATCTTTATATATTTTAGTTTCTCCTCCCCCATTTCCATGCCAGGGAAATCGCAATAGTAATTTGTTTTTCTTTGAAAAATGGAGTAGGATATTGTAACAATCAATTAGTGTTACTATCAATGTTACTACCAATCAATTTCATCAATGTTATTACCAATCAATTTCACTGTTAGATCGGTTATGTTGATTCAACGATTATATTTATTTCCATCTTTGTATGGTTATGATTTCTCATATTTAATGTAAAAGCATTAAATATGGGAAATCATAACCATACACAGGTGAAAATAAATATAAAATATTGAATATGGGAAATCATAACCATACAAAGATAAAAATAAATATAACCGTTAGATCAACATAATCGATCTAATGGTGAAATTGATTGGTAGTAACACTAATTGATTGTTACATTATCCTTCCCCTAAAAAATACTTACCTTTTCAATTTATTTTAAGAGTTAATTAAATAGACATACTATATAAAGAAAAATCTTTTAAAATATATAAAAATTGCATTTATTTTTTTTTAAAATGAAAAATAAAAAGAAAACTTGTGGGCATTTTGGGCGGCATGTGGTAGCTGGATGGCATTGGTTTGTGTAGAGTAATCATTGATCTATTTGTGTTGCGTGTATTTCTAAATGTAATTGCTAATTTGCCTAATTGGTTCCTCTTCATGCACTTGTCCCGCAACCTCTGTAGCTCATACAACACAAAACAAATCTTATTTCCCAGAAACAAAGTTCCAATTATTGTCTTCATCCATGGCATCTCGCCGCCGTATGTTATTAAAGGTCATAATCCTCGGAGATAGCGGGTATACTTTCCCTTTAAAAATAAAAAAAAATTAAAATAAAATAAATTCTATGGTTATTGCTACATTGAAATCATGAGATGTTAAATAGTGAAAAAAAATAAAATTAAGGAAATAATTAACGATCTTTTACTTTCTTAAAAACATGAAGTTTCTCGTTAATAGAAATGTTTTTTTTTTTTTTTTTGCCCCTCATGAAAAATCGTTTTAGATTCGATAACTTTAAGGAACAGTTAGATGTAATTTCAGTTCTTTGCTAATCGGTATTTATTTGTTTATTGGCAGGGTTGGTAAAACATCACTGATGAATCAGTACGCTGGAAACTCCCTTTATTTTATTTTATTTTGTGTATTCTTATGTTTGATCAATTGATTTGTGTCCATACTAATACTATCATGGAATGATGAATATAACTTTTCCCCCTGTATATAGGTATGTGAATCGTAAGTTTAGTAATCAGTATAAGGCTACCATTGGCGCCGATTTTCTAACTAAGGAAGTTCAGTTTGAAGATAGGTTGTTCACATTGCAGGTATGAGTTTGGAGAACATGTTGTTCTTTTTCGATAAAAATGTCAGAATAATTTTGGTACTTGTACAGTCTTACTGATGTTTTCTCCAGATACAATTGAAGGAACCGTGTCATTATGCTCGGGATTGAGCTATTATGTTTTTTTATTTCATTATCAGCTTGTATTTAATCTAAATCAGTTTTACTCGTCTCATCAATGTGTTTTGTATTAGATCTATAGCATTTTTTCAAATACATTGTGCGATTCATGTTGCTATAACAAATGAATTAGCTTAAAGTGTATGCGATCCCATTGGGAACTTAGTTTCTTTTTAATGATTAATTTTCATAAGCAAGCCTATACTGTAAAATTGTTTGCTTCTCCCCCTGATATTGATTTTCTTTTTACAATTCTTTCCCAATTCTACTACTGCATGTGGACTTTCTTGCAATGGACAGCTATGTGGATTATAATTTTTTTGCACTACCTTCCATTCCCATTTTAATTTATAAGACCTTCTGCTTTTCAAGTGAAAAGAGAAATAAGAAGAAAGTATTCTGGTATTGTGAAGCTCCCTTGTTTTTTGTTCTAGTTGTTTTCTGTATGTTGTGTGAAATGACTGCCATTGTGCTTGAGATATGATGCCATGGATGAGGCAAGTGCTTGATGGTTTCTGCTGTATAAAACGATCAATGTTTTGGTTGTCTTGTAGACCATTATATTCATTGAATGATTCTGTATTCTTCAATATTTTTGAAGAATGTAGAAGAGTTATCATATGTTTGAAGTTTGCTCATAATTCACATTCATTTGGGAGAAACTTCTATATTTAATTATTTAAGATAGAGATGTTCTTGTATGTGCAGATCTGGGATACTGCTGGTCAAGAGAGGTTTCAGAGTCTTGGTGTGGCCTTCTACCGAGGTGCAGATTGTTGTGTCCTTGTTTATGATGTAAATGTGGGGAAATCTTTTGAGAACCTTAACCACTGGCGAGAAGAATTTCTCATTCAGGTGGTTTTTAATCTTTGGTTTCAGACTAATCTCGACATAGTACTAAAGAATAGTGACTGAAACTCATGTAATTGATTTTGTTTTTCAGGCTAGTCCGTCTGACCCTGAAAACTTCCCATTTGTGGTGTTGGGAAACAAAATAGATGTTGATGGTGGGAATAGCCGAGTTGTAAGTTACTTATCACCTCGTAGCGTAATTGGTTCTTGACATATATGAAATTTTTGTGCTGAATTCAATCTCTTCTGTTACAGGTTTCTGAGAAGAAAGCAAAGACCTGGTGTGCTTCCAAGGGGAACATACCATACTTTGAGACCTCTGCAAAAGAAGGATTTAATGTTGAAGCTGCTTTCCAGTGTATAACCAAAAATGCACTCAAGAATGAACCCGAAGAAGAATTGTGAGTTTTCCCGAATTCTAGTTTTCTTAATGCATATTGTTTACTGTGGATCATTATAAATATTTTTATGGTAGGATATCAGAATTTAAGAAAGTGAGGCTTGGAGCCATGGTAAGGTTGCTCTTTATAATTAGAAGGTCACGAGGTTGACTCTGAGAAATAGCCTATTTGCAAAAGTACTAGGGTAAAACTTTGTACAATCGATTCTCACTCATATCCTTGCAAGTCGGAAAGTCTTGTACACCAGGATTTTTCCTTTGCTCTTTAGGATATCAGATATTAAGAAGGACAAGGAGGAGAAAAAAAGATCAATCTTATTTTAGGCTGTAGTGGTTTCAATTCCCTTCTTTGAATTTATTGTTTTTCATTAAACCACTAGGAAAAAAATAATGAAAAAGATTGGCTAGTTTAACCCAGAAAACCAGATGATCAGAATTGGTGATGGAGAACCGGTTTGAATCTTTTTTTTTTTTAAAAATCCACCAAAAATATTTTTGAACCAAATAAAGACCCATATATGAATTGTTATTAATTAGCCTCTTATTGTTGTTGTTTTTTTATGTTGCAGGACATATAATATGGTCCTTTTATGCTAATTTGAAATTTTATCTAACTTGGTCTTATGATTTTATGTTAGTTAGTATCTTATGTAATATTAAAACATATTTAATTATCACCGGTTTGACCACTATCGTACTAGACTACTAGTGAACTGTGATGAATGATCCAGTGTTATTAAGAACATTGGGAAAGAACGAATAATTTGTTATTTCAATTGAAACAATAGCTAGTTTCAAGTCATTCTTTTTAAGGAGGATCCTAGGAGCACTATCTTTAATTGCTGGATATTTCCTTTGATTGGTGGTTGTTGATTATGGTTATGACAGATACATGCCTGAGACAATTGATGTTGGTGGTGGTGGACGGCAGCAGAGGTCCACAGGCTGTGAATGTTGACTAGAGTTCTTCATACTAGCTTGACTTGCTTGTTTGGTGCCAAACTACAACGTCCTTCAAATAGGTGATGTATTAGTCAGCTATTTCAACAATGAAAAACATAGGACAACTTAGAAATTCGCTATCTTGTATCTCACTAGTGGGTTAGATGTCCTCCTGTTTACTTTTCTATTTACTCATATCTTATAATATTTGTAACAAATGTTTCTCCCCGTTGTATTCCATCAGGAAATATATAATGAGAATTCCAAGTTGTGTTTTGCTTATGTCATGCAAGTTCCAAGTTTAAGTATTGCTTTAAATTGTATTGTGTTTATGTGGTGCCAGATATTCCTTATTGTGTTTAGATAGAATGTTTCAAATAATAGTCCTTTAATGAGGTCTCACATTTCTTATAGTTGCACACACACGCACACGCATAGCTGGCATATTATTTTTGTTTGATGCGTAGAATTATTTAGACTCAAGCATGGTACTGCAGTTGCCACTTGAATTGTTGTTGTTGGAAGGAAGAAGGTGAAAACCCTACTCTCTGATTCTTTGTGGGAACCAACTAGTGATGGAAATGGTGGGCTGGCAGTGTGGTGGAATTAAATTGTGTGTGCCTCGGTGGAGACTTTTGAGCATACTTTGTACAGTGATGCTTGAGCAACAATTTGACCACTATTTTGATCACTTATAGTATTTCCAATCTATTTTGTTAAAAAATTGTAAAACCATGGTGTTTTCCGTGTATAACCACTGCTGGAACCATTGTTGAACAAATCAAATTGCAAAATTGATGGAATGATTCCTATTGAGTGTCGAGCTCACAATTTATCTAATGGTTTCTGATTTCCAGCACAAACAGGATGCAGACTGTGACCATCATAATTGGGGTTGAATTTATATGGATTTAGCACCAGTCCTCCCTTCCTGGATAAGGGTTATGTCCGGTTCATCCATGACATTCGGTTCTACTTAAGCCCTTAGGGCAAGATGTTTAAATTTATTAGCTATTAGATATTGTGCTTTGAGAGGGATTGTTATAGGCATAGTAACCATGAGAGTTTAATTGCAATCACTTAACTTTTTGGATATATGTAGTTTATGCAAGATACTAGATACAATCTACTTGGTACATGTTAATGTAGTTAGTACTAAGTGTAATTAAAAATGATTTGATGTATAATCCTTTGTGACCTTTTGAATGAAATTAAAAATCCTGGACAAGTGGTTTGTGTTATGGATTCTTGATGTTAAATTATGACCTGATGTTTGTTGGAAGAAGATGATATGCCTTGAATTGCTCTTTGTATCTTGAAGAATTGCACAAGTAATATATATTTTGAATAAACTTTCGAAATGAGGAAGCAGTGTAGTATGGAGTGGAAAAGTTACTGCAAGTTCAATTCCAGTAAGTTGCTTGTATATCGTATGATGCCTCGGTAAAGGAGGGGAATAATAAGTATGTTGAGTTTTGAATCAGGGCCGGTTTACTGTGTAACGTATTGGTGGAATATGGAGAAAGCAACATGTAATAATTAATACATAGTAAATGCAGTATATGTAACATTTTGAGTGAATAGTGGCATGGATGAGTCCCAGGAATTATAGGGGGTATCAATGTAAGTTGAGTTATGATCTTCATGGGCTTCCGTATGATCTTCAAATACAGTAGATGCTAAAACGGTGCAGGATATTCCTCCTTTGTTGGCTATAAAAAAATTTATACTATACTTGGGAACACTTCCTCTCTTTTTTTTGTTCTTTTACAATGATGTTACTGAAATTTGAATTTATAACTTAATTGTATTGAATCAATATATTGTAACTAGTTTCCAAGGGAGTTCGTTATGAATTGTGGTGAGAATAGTAATTTCATACATGGAAAGCCTATGATTTATTTTATTTTTTTTCTTTAAAAGGGTCAGGGGGATGGGAAGGTGTCACTCGGTAAATAAAATTTGTTCCTTATTCTTGAGCGTTAAGGGGGTGTTTGTTTCAAGTTTTTGAAGAGGATTACCGGTAATCCTTCTTTGGTAAATGTAATTACCACGTTTGGTAGAAGGAATAAATTACGATTCCCGGATATCCAAGGATTACCGGTAATTTGATTTATAAAGAAAAGTCACTATTCAGATTACCAAAAATAATATGGTAATTCGGAATACCAATCAGAATATCAAGTAAAGGAAAAGCACAACAATAAATTTTGAGACAAAAATACCCCAATACACATAAAAATCTAGACTCAATCTATCAATTACAAAAGTAAAAATAGTTTGGGGTTATTTTTGTAAAATAACCTCATATTCCAAGTCATATTTCGTTCTAAACCAAATATGGAATCAATAATTTTTATCTAATATTCCCGGTAATATTTTGGCGAACCAAACACCTCTTTCGTAAGATTCCAAGTAAACTCAATTTTTACTGTATTCCCATTAATCATGATTTCCGGTCACCAAAAAATTTCTCTTGTACCAAACATACTCTAAGAGTCTTCCGAATAAGACACATACTGTTGACTTGAGGCCTGTTAGTAGATATCCACTTATTTTCACACATGTTGCCACTATTTTAGTTGTATTAGGTGTTAGGCTCAGTTATTAAAAATCGGTGCAGTTATTAACTCAGTCGAGGTATTGAGTCACTGATTCAATCAGTGGATCACTGATTGAACCGCATGACCCGGTAATTATATACAATTTTATAATTTATATTAAAAAATTATAAACGTACTCAAATATATAAAAATAAATAAAAATTTCAAATATTTTAATATAAAAAATAATAAATCACACATTATTATCCAATAAAAAATAAACAAAAATATAATGATCGTGATACGGGACTTCAAGTGCAGTAAACGACATCTCTAACTATAAATCAAATCAAAAATTTGTGCATAGTGCATAATTGAGATAATATTAGTGTTGTAAGTACATAACCTATGTAAGTCAATAAGCAAAAAAAACTTAAATATATCCATTATGATTTTATTTTTTTTGGAACTTTTGTTTTGTGAACCGGACCGGGTCATCGATTTTCAAAAAAACAAGTTGTCGGGTCGCACCGGTTCTGATGCATGGCCAGTTCGTTACTTCACTTGGACCGATTATATAATTGACTTATCGGTTTCCGAGTCCAGCCGGCGCAATTTTATTAACATTGGTTAGGCTACTAATGTGAAGATAATTTTCTCCTTAATAAGAGCCCATGGAAAGACAATATGCTTCAAAAGAGAATTTTCCCACATGATCGCTCAGCCCAGAGTCCACCAAAGAGTAGTCTACATTACCGCCCCATATCCTATCTCAAGCGATCGTCGAAGTTGAGCCTCTAGCTTAGTGGTTTTAATGTTTCCGATATAAAATATTTCATTTAAAAAATTAATATATATATTTTTTTTTCTCAAATAGTATTACAAGGTCAGCCGTTAATGAAACCCTTGTAATATTTGATATTCTCTAAAAATGTAAAATTAATTTTTTTGGCCCCTCAAAGTTGGCAATCCAGTTTTGAAAAGAAATTGGAACTTGTGTATTCCCAACCCTGATTGGATCGGTTACTTCCAATTTCACTAAGGGTGTTTTTGGTACAAAAAAAATTGTATCCGAGAATTACAACTAATGGAAATTCATGTAGAAATTGAGTTTATCTTGAATATTATAAAAAAGTTGTTTGGTTTGTCAAAATATTACCGAGAATATTGGGTAAGGATTACTGATTCTATGTTTGGTTTAGAATGAAATATTACTGGGAATATGATGTTATATTACAAAAATAACCCTTAAATATTTTTGATGTGTGTTGGGGGTAACAATTAGAGCTGTCAAAAAGGGCTCAAGCCCTAAGGCCAGCTTTATAAAATTTTAGCCCTCTATGTAATGAGGTCATTTTAAGCCCATCCTTTTAAAGCCCTCTCATTATAGGGTTAGGTTGGGCTGGCCCGCGGGGTACAATATTCAACCCAATTTACAACGAAAAAATTTCATCAAAAGTTTTGACGGAAAAAAGAATTCCTTCAAAAAATTTGACGGAATATTTTCCGTCCAAAATCTTCGATGAAAATGTGACCCAATGAAAATTACAACAGAAATATTTTTTTTCAAAATTTTTGAGGGAAATGTATCTGTGAAACTTTCGACGGAATTTAGATTTCGTAAAACTTTTTGACAAAATATTTTTTTCGTTGAAATTTTTTACAGAAATATTTTCGTCAAAGTTTTTTACAGAAATAATTTTCGTGGAAAATTTTTAACAAAAATGTGTTCCGTTTAAAATTTTGATAGAAATATTTTTTATCGAAAATTTTGTCAAAAATATTTTTCGTCAAAATATTTTGACAGAAAATTTTTTCGACAAAAACTTTTTCATCAAAAAATTTGACGTAAATTTTTGTGTCAAAAATTTTGACGGAATTTTTTTCGTCAAAAATCTAAACAAAAACTTTTTTCGTCAAAAATTTCGACGGAAATTTTTTCGTCAAGAATTTCGACGGAAATTTTTTCGTCTAAAACTTTTACGGAATTTAGATTCTGTAAAGAATTTTGACGAATTTTTTTTTTCGTCAATTTTTTTACAGAAACGTTTCGTGTCAAAACTTTTTTCGAAAAAATTTCTATGCAATAATTTTTTTAAAAAGTGACAATTTTCTAAAAACTATTTATTTTTTATTTTTTCTAATAATTTCTATGCACCATTTTATTATAAATATTTTTCTTTTAAAAATACATATTATTTTTTTAGAAGGCCCGCGGGCTGGCTCTAACCCATAGGGCTTTGGCCCGTGTGGATCTATATCATTGTGGGCTTTTTGGCCCTAACCCACTTGGGCTAGGGCTAAATGGGCGGGGCTGGCCCGTTTTGACAGCTCTAGTAACAATGACACCAGACCTAGGTATTGGTGTGTGTTGGGGGTATTTTTGTCCCAAAAATAGTTGTTCTGGTTTCCCTTCGCGTTGCAATAGTGAATTACCATATTATTTTTGGTAATCAGAACAGTAACTTTTCTATGTAAATGACATTACTGGTAAATCTTGAATATTCGGGAATTGGATTTTGTATCCTTGTACCAAACATGTATATTTGAGTACGTTTATAATCTTGAATATTTTTTAGGGTCGAATATAACCTTTTTTAGGGTTGACCCGGGAACCGGTAAACCGGTCATATAACCGGTCCGGTTTAAGTAATGGACCGACCATGCATCAGAACCGGTGTGACCTGGTCTGACCCGGCCGATTTTCATAAAAACCGGTGACCCGGTCGGTTAACTGGTGACCCGGCCCGGTCAAAAAATAAAAAAATTCCAAAACTTTTTTTTTTTTCAAAAAAAATCATAATGGACATATTTGAATATTTTTTTGCTTATTGACTAACATAAGTTATGTACGTACGACACTAATATTATCTCAATTATGTACTATGTAG